AAAAAAAAAAAAAAAGAAAGAAAGAAAAAAGAAACTCTGTCTCAAAAAAAAAGAAATGGACACTGAGCTGAAAGGGATCTCTCAGGAAATGTGCTGCTAGCTGGCGAGAGTATAAGGGGCTGAGGCCAAGGACAGGAGTGTTTCTGTCAGCTGCACCCAGGTCTCCTAGGCCTCGAAGGTGCCACTCTAGGGATAGAGGATGCGCATGTGCATGAACAAGATAGACTTTCAGCAGGGGAGACAGATTATAGAATAGGCTGTGGCTGTTGTGAACTGTTAATAACAAGAGTGGACGAAGTGGTGGGGAGTGAGTGAGGGGCAAGGACAGGCTTTGTCTGGGGAGACTTCTGAGATGCAGCCTGAGGGCAAGAAGGTAGCTGCCATAGTAAAGGAGTGATGGCATCCAGGTGGCAGGGACAGCATGTGCAAAAGGCCCTAGCATGAGAAAAGCCAACTGGTGGGGGCAAAGCCAGTGTGAAAGGTGTCTGGACAGACAGGGGCCAATCTGTCAGGGCTGGGTGTGGTGCTCACTTGGAGTGTGACAGGAAAATGAGAGTGTACGGTCAAACACAGTCCCCGGAGCAGGGCCCCACCGTCCTTATTCCATTGAAAAACATGTGAGAAGTTCAATTTTACCCACTGCCTTGGTATAAAGATGACTATAATTTGGGCTGGATGAAATATTATTTGTTCATTATTACTTTGTCTTTTTTTTCCTCTGATATTACAAGAAGCTATAATGAACATTTTTATGAGCCCCTGAAAATGTCATGGGCACTGTGCCTCCCCAGCCTAATGGCCTGAGGCATTTTGCACAGACCCAAGGGACTGGTCCCTGCCAGCCTACATCCTATAATGTCACCCTTCCGTCCCCAGCTTCTTCAACCCCTCAGGAAGGTGCATTTCAAGATCCCTGATGGGACAGAGATCACGTTTGATGCCAATGGAGATTTAGTTACAGAATTTGATGTACTACATGGGCAGAAGACTGCTGAGGGCCGGTTCCACTTTGTCCGCATAGGCACTATCAAGAAGAGAGCCTCTCTGGGGGACAGAATGACAGTCCAGGTGATGGAGGAGGAGCTCCAGGTAAGTTTCCTGAGCATACAAATGTCCCCAGTCCTGGTGTGTTGGAGTATGAGGAAAGCGCAGCAGCCAGGGGAATATGTCCCTGTTTGACACATGAAGTTGATGTGGCTCTAAACTGGGCAAGTTGGGACTCAGCTATGCTGTTTACCACACTAGACCTTCTCTGAGGGGAGAAGGGCATTTACTCAGCATTAAAAATGAAAATATTAGAGCTACACAAAAGTAGAGTTTGCATCAGGAGTTTCTATCAGTGTTTCTCATCAAATATGTATTCAAGGTTCTGCTGAATGAAAAGGCCAATTGTTTACCTGGGAAGATGGCAACCCATTTCACTAGATAGCTTCCATGGAGCATGCGGGAGGTGGGCCCAATGAGTGTTCTCCTTTTTATTAACAAACTCAGTTGCTGTCTTGGGACAGGTGTGTCCCAAGCCCATAGAAATCCCTGTCCCTCTGGCCACCATGAGTGGACCTGTTGGGGTCCGTGAGCAGACCTGTGGCCCCTGTGCTGCAGCTTTGCCCTCCTGTTGTCGGAGCACCTCCAGGCAGCGTTGGCCTCGGGGTGCTCCAAGTGAACATCAGGCTCCCACCTTTGCTCCCCTTAAGCACAGGGACACAGGGTAAATGTCTGGAGGATTCTCGTGAAGTCCCTTTCAATGGACTTGATCTAGGAGGGTCTTCCTTGCCCTTCAGAGGGTAGAAGCCTAGCCTTCTACCTTCTCTCAAAGGCATTCTCACCATCACCTCCACCCCTAACTCTGGCCTAGAAGTGGGAGGTGGGCTGATGAGGTAGAACCACTGCCTTTTGCAGGTCCTACAGAGGGATGGGCCACCAGTAGTGCAATGTAGGGGTACATGGGGGGACAGGGTCCTCACCCTTCAGAGGGTAGAAGCCTAGCCTTCCACCTTTTTTCAAAGGCATTGTCACCCCCACCTGCCTCCCCTAACTCTGGTCTGGAGATGGGAGGTGGGCTGAGGGAGGCAGAACCACTGCCTTTTGCAGGTCCTGCAGATGGACAGGCCACCAGGAATGAAATGCAGGGGTGCATGTGGGGGTGGGGTCAGCACCTGGGATTCTTAACACAGGAGCCTCAGAGCAACTGGGCTTTTCCATCATCAGACAGGTGAACTCCTCTGAGGTTTACCTGTCTGCTATGTTTCCAAGTGCCTCTCCAGTCTGGCTTCTCTGATGTAACTGGGATGATTTCCCCCTAAAAGGGGCCCCATGTTGGGGGTGGGAGAGTTTGAGGTTGCTGTAATCTCTGGGCTGGTTCAGGAGTGGACATGTTTCCTGGGCTCTCTGGCCAGCCACGGGTTAACACTCCTGCTGGTCTATCCTCAGGTCCCCAGCTCTGTCTGCAGCAGGAGTTGTGCTCCAGGATTCAGCCAGATCCCCCGACCAGGCTTCCCCCACTGCTGTTTTAACTGCAGCCCTTGCCCTGAGGGACAGTTTGCAGACCAAATAGGTGAGGACTAGCAGAGGCTGAAGCCTGAGGGGCCTCAAATGTTCCTAATCCACTGAGTTGTTGCACAATCTCCAGCCTTCTCTGGACTTTGGACAAGGAAAATGTTTATTGCAGTATACAGATAAATGCACGAATCCGAAGTGTGAAGCCTGAGGAATTCTCACTGAGCAAATGCTCAGTGTCCTTGGTCCCCCAACCATGGAGAAACACAGCATGACCTGCCCCGAGACGACCTTGGTACCCCTCACGGTCATTTCTCTACCCTATAGTGACCATTTCAGTTTGTATTGGCATCAATGGGTTTTCCTTAATTTTTAGCCTCCAATAAGTAGAATCACATAGGAAGTTTCTGATTCCTCAGTTTCTTTGTGAGATACACCCAGTGGCTATGTGTAGCTGTAGATGTCTTGTTCTGCCTAGTAGGATCCCACTGTGTGGACAGGACATGACTCCTTTGCCCATTGCAACAGCGACGGGGGTTTTGAGGAGGCTTCTGAGCAAGAGCATATGGAGCAGCTGCCCTGTCTTCTGGGGACATGTGGACACATTTCTGTTGGGTGTGGCAGTGTCGGGGCACAGGTGGATGGCCCTGCAGCTTTAATGGGTGCTATAGTTGCTTCAGTTTGCACACCCACAGGACTGTAGGCAATAGCCAATTGCCCTCATGTTAGTTTCATATCACTTATTGTCTTTTATTAATTCAGAGTTTCTCTAGTTTAACACTCTGGAAAGGCCTGGTATGTGGCTCACACCTGTAATTTTAGCACTCTGGGAGTGAGCTCAGGAGTTTGAGACCAGCCTGAGCAAGAGGGAGACCCCTGTCTCTAAAAATAACCAAGCATTGTGGCAGGTGCCTGTAGTCCTGGCTACTCGAGAGACTGAGGCAAGAGAATCTCTTGAGCCCAAGAGTTTGAGGTTGCTGTGAGCTATGATGCCACGACATTCTACCAAGGTAGTCAAAGTCAAAAATGAACAAAAAGGGCAGCACCTGTTGCTCAGTGGGTAGGGTGCTGACCTCATACACCAAGGCTGGCAGGTTCAAACCCAGCCCCAGCCAGCTAAAACAGCAACAACTGTAACAACAACAAAATAGCTGGGCATTGTGGCAGACGCCTAAAGGCTGGCAGGTTCAAACCCAGCCCCAGCCAGCTAAAACAGCAACAACTGTAACAACAACAAAATAGCTGGGCATTGTGGCGGACGCCTATAGTCCTAGCTTCTTGGGAGGATGAGGCAAGAGAATCGCTTAAGCCCAAGAGTTTGAAGTTGCTGTGAGCTGTGACGCCACAGCACTCTTCCCAGGATGACAGCTTGCAACTCTCTCAAAAAAAAAAAAAAAAAAAAA